AGAAACAACACATCCATTGAGCTCCCAGTGTCGACCAACATCCTCTTGACCTCGCACCCGGCGACCACTCTGCGGACCTCCAACGCCTCCGTGGAGGGCATCCGACACGCCTCTTCGGGAACGTCGTTGAAGCGTATTTGTATAGCCTCACGCGCACTGGCGGTGGCGGACTTCAGGTGCCTTCCTTCTTCCAACTTCTGCCGCAAATCTACGGAGCTCGTGATGGCCTCGATAGTCAGCCTTACACGATTCGGGTTCGCCTCCTGCTCTACGTTGAATGGGGGTGGTGGTAAGGTAGTGTCTTTCTTAGGCTGGTCATCCACCGGCCCTTGCTTCTCGTCGGGCGCCTTCGCTTGCGTCTCCTGCGCCACGAACGTTCTCTGCGTCCTGTCGTCCCTTTTCACGAAGTCGTTCAGCATGCCCCTATCCACCAACCCTTGGATTTCGGATTTCAGCTGGTAGCAGTCTGCAGTGTGGTGTCCCCGCTCCCTATGGAACTCACAATACCTATCGAGGTTCTGCTCATTCGGGCGCCCCCTCATGGGCCCCGGCTAACGGATATGGTACCCCTTGTCCTTCACAAACTGCAGCACATTCTTTAGCGAGTCGTTGAGTTCAGTGAAGTTCCCGCTTCCCTTGGGCACAAAACGCCGTAGCTCGGGGCGCCGCGCTCCCGTCGGGTAGAACGGGGGTGGGTTAGGGGTAGTTGACACGCGCGGCGCTCGGACCCCCTCCGCCTCTTCAGGGCGCACGTCTCTCCTCTCCATTCTCCTCGCAGCCAACGTCTCCTCCAACATGATCACCTTTTGTACCCTACGGTCCAGATCCTCCGTGGACACCACGTCCCGTTTTGACAGCGCCCGACATAACTCCTCACTCGTGGTGCACTCGTCCAAGCAACATCCCAGGACCGGGGGCTTGACGTCCTTGACCGCCATGGCCACCGACATCCAGCGCTCATAGAAGTCCCTGAGCGCCTCGCCCTTACGCTGTCTGACCTTGAATAGGGCACTGATAGTGAGGCTCCTGCGCTTCCGGCTGGCGAACTTTGAAAGGAATAGCGCCGCGAATTGCTCGAATCCATCGATCCTTCCTTCCTCGATTTGGTGGTACTAGTCTAGAACCAGGCCCGTGAAAGTGGAGGGAAAGGCGCGACATAAGGTGGCATCCGAGCTATTATATAGTTGCATTTTGGTGAAGTAGTTGTTAAGATGGTCCTCCGGATCAGTTGTACCGTCGTAACTAGGGAGCGCCGGGATGACTGAGTTCGCTTGTTCGGCCAGTATACTTCGCGCGAGCGGCTGCCTCACTCCCCAGGTTCTTCCATGGCGATGGGGCGCCCAACCATTGTGTTCATCAAAGTCCGAGGCCATATGCTTCGTCAGGTGCCCCAAGTCCTCCGTGAGCTTCAGCGCGCTAGACGCCCCTTCTTCGTCCTCCTCTCGGTCCCTTCTCTTTCCCCCAAGTGGGGGCGCCGCTTCCGCTCCTTTCTTCAGCATCTCCACTTCCTTCCTGAGTGCCTCCAGCGCCTGGTCTTGCTCCCCGATTATGTGAAGTAGATGCTCCTTCGTGAGGGTGACGCCTTCGGATTGGGCCGTTTCCTGCGCCTCGTCGTCAACCCCCCGCATGCGCCTCTCCTGACAGGACGGGCGCCTCTCGTGATGCCTCAGCGGCTGCCTGTCCCCTTTCTCTCTCGACTCCTCCTGACGCCTCCATGACCCCTTACTTGCTCAGTAGTACGATTCGCCGCCCCTTCCTGGCGCGCCAATTGTTTGTGCCCTGAAACTCCCTCTCCGCGCCCCGCGCTCCAATCTCCTTAGCTCTCCCTTGCAGACGCACTCCTGCACCCACACAAGCACCTAGTGGACCAACTTGGTCCGTTAGCACTCCGACGCTCAAGTGAGAAACCACCTTTAGAGAGAGAAGTGAAGGAACAGTTCTAGTAAGAGAAGCAAAAACTGAGTAAATGAGGTTTACCTACTCGACTATTTATACCCGGGGCGAGATCGACCGGTATCCGTCGCTCTCGCCCTATGTCAGGCCCGCCATAAATGCACCGTACTTCCCTCGCATATGCGCCTCGACCATCTGACACCGCGGTCAGAGGTCCGAGGCGCATGACATCACTAGGTCAGTCTTTCGTACACTTTCGGCCGTTGGCTGCTTTTGTCCCATGCGCCCTACGTCAGGTGCCCGGTCCCACCTGCCTTCTACGTCACCCAGGCCACGCAAGCCCTTGCCAGGGCGCCTTCCAGCCCAAGACCCTTGCCCCCATGGGCTTTTCTAAGCTTCTCTGATTGGGCCCACACCTGCATCCTATTAGCACCATTCTTTGGACCTTCCCTTTCATGTTGGCCCTTGGCCCATACTTGTTCCCCCAACATATTCCCTTTTCTATATATTTATTTTTAACATTTGTAGTTGCAGTTTTTGGTTGCAGCCTGATAATTGTCGAAAACATATTGATTCCATGTGCTTAATGTGATTATTTCAAGATATATTTTAGACATAGAATGCTTGTTTTAGGGCCAATTGACTATTGAATGGTTGAAAAGCCATTACCATCCGGTATTAGAGTTTTGGTGTATTTCAGGTGAAGAAATAGAGAAAATGGCAGCACGCGTGATGGGCAGGCAAATGAATAAAATTACTTGGAGCGGGAGCAAACTTTTGAGCCCGATGGACTGCAACACAAGTCTTGAATTAACTTGGACCATGTGATTTACTTGTACCGAAAAGCAAGCACTGGAAATTTATGGGGAGAGAAGTAATTAATTGGAACGCAATTAGCTGGAGGTGAGGTTTCTTTGGGCCATTTTTTCCAATTAAATGGACCAAGTTGTTGGCCTCTAGTCGGGGGGATTGGAGGGAATTGGACAGGGAGTCTTCTTTTAGGGAAAACTTGGAATTAATTGAAAGCGGACGGCAACTGGAGAATAATTGGGCAGCTGTGAATTATTTGGGAGGAGGAGCAGCACAGCGCCGCGCGGAGGACTAGCGCAGTGCGCGGAGCAGCAGAGTAGCGATCGGAGCAAGAAGGAATTGGAGCCGGATCGTTCGACAAATTCAGTATTCTTTTCCTTTTGTTTCGATTCGTGACATGATAATTATGAACATGATTGTGTGTTTTATTTTTGTCATGAACTAAACCCCAATTTCTGGGGGAAACACCATAGGATGTAGCTATTTCTATACTTGATGGATTGATTCATATTTCTTTTCTTTCAATCTCTATTGCATGAAATTATTTAATGCTTTGTTGACTGGCCACCAATACAATGATTTGTAGTTAATTAGGTTATTAGCGATAGTGAAACCCTAATAACCGAACATATTTCATGTGACATAGTAACTTATCGAAGCGACAGTGGATTAAATAAGGTGCTATGCGGTCTTGATTAGGATATCGGTCTTCAGGCTATAATTAACTCATTGAGCTACGATAGTAGGATTTGAATTGATTGTTTAGTACGTAGTAATTCCCGACAGGGATAGCTAGCACAGTAGTGATATCCTGACTGTATAGAATTGGATTAAATCGATTAGAATATGTGAATTAATTTGGATATGATAGGTAGCGAGTCCAGGTGTTTCTCCCAGAGCTTTCTCCCATTGAATTTCTCCCGACAAATTTACCTTGCTTAATTAGTTTATTTTGCTTTTAGATAATTAGTCTCATTAAACCATTTTCACATATAGTTTGCTCCATAGAATTGATATAATATAAAGTTGTACCAGTCCCTGAGAGACGATAGCCGGACTTCCAGTTTACTACTATATAGGAAATTGGCATATATGCTTTGCCTATCACAGCCCACAAAAATGACTCTAATTCAAAGGTGACCAATGAGTGCCATGGACAAAAATCTCAAGCAAGGCAAGCAAAAGTTCAACATTAGTGTTTAAGAAGTGGACAAAAGAGAACTTATTTCACATTGCTGATATCAAACAGAGAGATCATAGGCCTAACAGACCAGCTTAACTCGCATTATTTCATATATGGCAGCAGCCAGCAGTTTATAATGGAGCTCAAAACCAGACTCGATCGTTCAAATCCAAACGCAAAAGGAAAGTGAAAAAGACTGTAATCAATCTTTCCCTCTTTCCTTTGTCACTCTTCGCTCATCTTTCTCGTCAAGCTTCCAGACGCAATGTTCTGCACGTGATTCATTGGAAGTAGCTAGCTAACTGGTGCAGGGTTTATGCTTTAAATAAATAAATAAATAAATATAACAATAGGGTTGACATTATTTTGTTAGAAATAACCCCACATGGAGTGGACATGCATGGTAGCCAGCGAGATGATCACTTGGATATCTGAAGGACACACAATAAGTAGATTAATTAAATAAATGATAGAAATAGAAGACACAAATAATTGCGTGGTTTGATTGAAAGGTTGGTCCACAAAGATAACGCGAATATTCGTGATAATTTAATTAGAAACAATAAACGACACAAATAGGTGCGCAAGAATGGAAAGGGACAGAAACGGGAAGAAGAACTAGCCGGGCCGGCTTCCTAGCTTCACCAGTACCGTTCTAACGCAGATGCAGAGGATTCGTAGATCGCTAGCAATAGGGTAAATGCCACATTTGGTCACTGAGATTACTAAATCGTGTCATGTTTAGTCACTAGAAAAAATTAATATCAATGTTGGTCACTCGAATTACCAAAACATGTCACATTTAGTCACTCTCTCGATAGTTTCCGTCCAACTCCATTAATGGAATTGGATTGAAACTAACGAGAGAGTTACTAAATGTGACATATTTCAGTAATTCGAGTGAGTAAATGTGACATGTTTAAGTAATTCGAGTGACAGGAGTTGGACGGAGGCTAACGAGAGAGTGACTAAATGTGACATGTTTCAGTAATTCGAGTGACCAAAATTGATATTAAATTTTTTCGGTGACTAAACATGACACGATATAGTAATCTCAGTGACTAAATGTAGCATATTTACCCACTAACAATAATAGAGAATACACTAACATATTCATATATATATATTTGGCGAAGTAAGCAGATACATAACACCCATCAAATACTCATACAAACAGAAGGCCACTTAATTATTCGCAAGTTTACAGCAATATCAGAAGCACACATACAGTAATATACAATGCTATATTATTGAAAGCTTCGATGGCCCATTCCCTCAACTGCCACACACAATAAAAAAAAAAAAAAAACAAACCACAATCATAGAGTCTTTTCAATACACATTATTGGAACTTGGAAACACGTACGTACGACTTTTCCCCCCATGCTTATATAATAATTACCATCATGTTCATGTTCATGGAATTAATTATTATGATCACTTCTTCTTGGTGTGGTGGTCATCAATATCCTTGCTGGTGTGAACCACAAATTGCAGCAGGGAGAAGGGCTCGGGGATTTCCTCGTTGAGCTTCTCATACTCCAGTGTCCAGTGAACCAGGCTCCACTCTCCCCCCGACTGTGGAGTTGCCTGAACCACTAGCTTGAAATTCTTGTACTCCTTCATCAGATCCCCTTCGATCACCTTAAACGTCGTCGAAAGATTCACATCGTCGATGTCCTCGATCACCTCTTTTGCCACTTTCGCAACCCCATCTGTAGATCATCATATCATGTATCCGACAAACTCATAAGTCAACCATTGATAAGTTATAAATTTAGGTTAGATCATGTTACCGACAAAACTACAACAACTAAAACATTAAATCTTGAAGATCAAAACATTATTATATATAGAGATATCATGAATTACCGTGGCAGTAATCCCAGTTGATGACAGTGCCGGGTTTGCCCCAGTCACCTTCATGGACAGCGCAAGCCTTGATCTTCTCAGGAGCCATGTCTGAAATATGGTGTGGCCTGCCGCTGAAGATGTCATGGAACAGATCAGCAGCGACCCTAATTCCAACATACGCCTCCAGCTTCCCGTGTAATAGACTCATGCTGATCGATGGCCTGATCTCTCTCTCTCTCTCTCTTGATCTTTCTCTTCTTTTGCTTTCCTTCAGGTAAAGCTTGCAGATTGAGTATTGATCTGAGGGCAACTAAGGGGTCATATATAGTATTTTTCACATGAGTGCTACTGCTCTGGGTCGTTGATATGTTCACACCTTTTATTTTATTTTATCTTATCAGGGAGTGGCACCACCACGGTGCCAGAATCACGTTGCTGCAATTGTTTTCTCTCATATTTGACATAAATATATTATACTGAAGAATAATTTATTTTCATTTTTTCAAGGATGGTGGATCGTGAATTGTAACAGCGTATTAAATTTACCTGTCTCGAAGGCTAGGGTCGTATTCCCTATGACCTCTCGCAAAAACTTACTCAGCCATGTGAATGACGAGTTCTATGATGAAAGAAAGCTTGTGAAAAAGGTTGAGGTGCCTCCGCTTTAGCCAAAAAAGAAAGTAAAACACAAGAAAAATAAGCCTATACTACTAGGCAAGTGAGGATGTAGAAGAGAGATGCGTTACATAGGCAAAGTTTACGCCTAAAGTTACTAGATACGTTTCCCTCGATGCTGGCAACATATGAATTGCCGATTTTTGATCTTTTGTCATCCAATCCCACCTTGTGGCGGTTCGTGGACTAGTGGGGGAAAATGGTCCTACGGATTTCTCTTTTGAGACTTCACACCGTTTGATCAAATGATGATCGATTGAGTAGAGTTGTCATGTGTGGTCTTACTCTAAACAACTCGGATTTCGATGCTTGCACACGAAGGGATGCAAGCTTGACTAAACTTTCATTCAAACCAACAAATGACACATAGAGGAAATCATATACAAATGATTGGAAGATCAAAACAGTCATATTGAATACCAAACATCGAGTTTTACATATCCAGAACCTCTAGGATTTGCACACCTAATCAACTAAGGAACTAGCCGGTCACGGAGACGGGTTTCTAGGGATTCATCGATTGAATGAATGTTCCAGAACCCCACTAGAATCGACAACCACAATAGAGATATCGGGCATGGGGCCCCCGCTTCTGTTGCCAATTCTGTTATGTAAGTGGTGTCGCTCTAAGTCAGGTGGAGTACTCTGTCGGCAGAGTAACGACCCTCAACGGCCTCCTATCAATGACTAAGAAGTTCTAAACCCTAGACACCTTTATATAGGCATCGGATTAGGATTTATGGGGACAGAATCTTAGCGTTAACGCATCATCCAGTATATCAGAAGAGTCCTTTTTTGCAGTTACTACTTTAAAATAACTTCAGGACGCCTTCTTGACGAAGTACACAACTTCTCAAAAACGGAGTTTTCTATTACGGGCCACCGAAATGGGTGCCAATATTAAGCCTTGGTTTTATTCTTGTAGACCATCTTGAGATGCGCCTTGAGGGTCTCGAATGAGATCAGAATGGTCCATGGACCAATCTACTCTCTACTTTGCCGAATTATAAGTTGAGATATTAGTTGATGTGAGTGATGTAGACACCCCTATGAAGTGCTAAGAGTATGCTGTCTTTTTTATACGATTATGATCTTTAGAATGGTGAGGTCTAGGTGAAGGGAACTCTGATTTTGCATGCTTCGTAGGAATGTCAGGTTACCTTTACTCCCATACTTTCCACCACGAATATGGATATGGATATCGTGTGGTGGATCAGTCAGGTTACCTTTACTCCCATACTTGCCATCACGAATATGGATATCGCGTGGTGGATGAGCCTCCATCCCAACTTCACTTCGCCACCATTAAATTTTTCACATTCATTGCTCTTGCTCCTGGCACTTTAATATCTTCTTCGTAGAAATCACCGAAGTATGAGAAAGAATTCTCTATAGTGAGGGCCGCGAGAGCCATGGTGGAATATAGGAACTTTGCATGATAAATATCAGGGGCCCTTGTAATCTCCCAAGGGATATTTGTCGGTGTACTCCTCTGAGTTAGAAAGATGTTTGGGAATTTTTTTGGTGCAGCTCGAACATCCTTGATCGTCAAAGTGCTGAGAAACTACAGTATGAGGACACGGTAAATCCTATCCCAGATGGTCAAGACCTTGATCCTCTCTGGCTTGTCAATCTTTGAGTGAATGAAAGGGTCAACTCCAAGATGGGTAAAGAGAACATCATTGAGACACAAGCTCTCTTCGATTGGGCACTCTCTTAGGCAGAGATCCCTCATGTCCATTTATCATCATCTAATATGAACCCACACAATATATATACAGTTCCATCCACCCACACGAATTCATTCTATCATCATCACCGTTTATAACCCTACACTTTACCAAGGTTAGCCAATCCAACTTTTCCAAAGTTCCTTGCGTTGGTTGAGGCTCCAAGTTAACAGGTTGTGTTAGTTAATCAAAAACATCATCCTTATTATCGATCAAGGCTTCTAGGGATTCATTCCTTACCTTAGCAATCCATTGATAGAGTCTTCCACCATGGTTCATCAGCATGTCGATGCCCTACCATCCTGCCTCATTGTTGCCGGCAACTAATTCCCAAGCTCCCGTAGCGTCTTTGTCCCGCATGCACAGCTTGGAATGACACTAACCTCTAGTTCCCTCTCTCTCTTGTGCCTTTTCCCGACTTGTACCACTTTTCTCTGCCGACTGAGATCCTAATCCCATTTATGTACGCCACTAATCCCTAGCCCTCCCAAATAATCACAACAAATAGTCTTGTGGAAGTAACGGAGTCCGCTACTGTAAAAGCTCCCAATTAAGAGCTTAATGGTTCCAATTCTTTGATTTAATGGGCCTCTAAATATCTACAATTAACCAACTCACTATTGTGGTGGTAAAACATTAGAGTTAACCACTTGACCCAGCTATGTCTCGTTTGGAGTTTGGCTTGGTTTGAAATCTCTAACCATTGAATCAAACCATGTATTAACTTCAGGTGGAACCCTAACCCAAAATTCAGGATGTTACATTTCCTCTTCACTTATAAAAATTTCGTCCTCGAAATTGGATTCGTAGGATAGCAACTAAGAAGTAAACATTTTTTACTGAGACATCTTGTGTTTGATAATGCTTGCCTCAACTGGGATTTCACACTACCGTATGAGGACACGATAAATCCTATCCCAGATGGTCAAGACCTTGATCCTCTCTGGCTTGGCAATCTTTGAGTGCACGATGTGGTCAACTCCAAGCTGGGTAAAAAGAACATTGAGACATGAGCTCTCTTCGATTGGGCACTCTCTCAGGCAGAGATACTTGTCGACGAACCGGAGTGGGATTGCATAAAGGAATGCATATATTTTTGTTGGTGATGGTGTACTTGTGGTTTCTCTTCTTGCTCTACTTGGTCTTCCTTTTTTTATATGGGTGAGAGATGCAATTAACTATAAGAAAAAACCAAAAACAGTCATGGATACAAAGTCTTGCCGAAGAAAAAAATAAAAGGAAAGGAGAAAATAATAAGAAAAAGGAAACCGGTAGCACAAGAAGTGCTCCTGTCCAAGCAGAACAAGGAAAGCTAAGTTCACCAAAAGACCCCTGCTCCCAGAAAAAAAGACAACACAAACAAAAACAACAAAAAAAAAACACAACAAACAAAGGCCAGCAACACCAGCGAAGCGCCCGGCTGAACAGAACAAACAGCAAAACCGGCAACAAAGAGCAGGGTTGACGCAGCTACCAAACTACGCCACCTCCCGAAGGAAGTAACGAAAGCCAAATGGCCTAATTCTGAAGAGCAAGCTGCATTCTCAGCCAGCCGATACCTTGATCTCTACTAATCTTTTTATGCGCCACTAGCCACTCAACCGAGGCTTAGATCGCCTTGAGGAGAACGACTTTGGCATTGTTGTTGATATCTTAGAATATACGGTTGTTTCTTTCTAACCAAACCTGCCAGCAAATAGCATGAAGAGTACAAAAAGCAATCCACTCGCTAAAACAATCGGGAATCTCGTGTTTCCATCTTCGAATGGTGGCAAGAATGTCTCCTTGAGGTGGAATCAAAGTGTTGCAGAATTGCCTCGCCTCCTGCCAAATCTCTTTTTGACACGCCAAAACACAACACCAAACTGCGACCAAGTGTAATCGCAGTCCGGGAATGCAGTAACAGGCAAGTTATATTATCAACCCGGGGTCTAGATCTACTGCTTACTCCGTGATTGTCTATTATCTAGCAAACTAATTCGAGTGATTGTTTTTTTAAAGCTAAAGCAGTAAGAAAGCAGTAAATGGTTCGGTTTTCAAAGTCAGGAAAGAGTCACTCGGGATTGAGTCCCCCTAGCCCCTTAGTTAGGTTCAATTGTAATTCCCCTGGGTTGATTTACTGTTGATTAGACTGCGGAAGATCCGACAGTAGCTTGGAATCTCTTAAGCTGACCAAGCCCTCTCAGTCTAACTACCCGGCAGACGACTAGTCTTCACCGGGATAGAAAGCTGAGGCTATGAACACAGAACTCCACTACTGGAATTGAATTTCAGTACAAAGCAGTAAAATGGCTAACTCTCGTATAGCCAATCTCCTACTATCGAATGGGTGAGGCTCTAACAACCTAATCAGATTCTATCTATCTCAGGTTGCAGCAGAAATTGAGAAAAGCTGATCAGACTCCAATCAATTCAATAAACATGCATCATTCGATTAAAATCAAACAGTAATATCATCCCAAGTTATTACAATCAAATCCCTAACACAAGGAACTAGGGTTCTTCATACCCAAGTGAGAGAAGGGTTCTACTCCATAGAGAGAGAAGAGAAAACAGTAATCGGAGTAGTCATACTCATAATGATGAGGAAAATCTGCTCCGAGATGATGATTTCCACTCCTATGACGATCTCCAAGCTCGATTCGATGAAACCCAGGTCCAAGATAGCTTCTAGGATGTGTTCTTCGTACTTTCTATCTCTAGGGCTCTGTTTTTGCTCTGAAAATCCGATTCTCCCCCTTTTGGCTCGGAATTGGCTCTAAAACCAGAATTTCCCGACCCACACGGGCAGGCCACACGGCCGTGTGACTCACCCACTTGGCCGTGCGGCTCA